AAATGGGGTGAAAGTGTAGGGGGGAGTGCAGGATGTGAGGTGTGGGGTAAGGAGGTGCTTTCGGTTTTTGTGGGTCTGGATTGTGGTAAAGTGGTGGACGTGGTAAGTGCTTTGGGTTGGGTTGTGTCAGGAAGGTCGGTTTTATCAGGCGGGTTGAGAAATGGTGTGAAAGTGTAGGGGGGGAGTCTAGGATGTGAGGTGTGGGGTTAGCATCTGCTTGCTCATACACGACGACCAGTCATATCGTGAATTCGCTCAGCAGCGTTCAGTTGTTGAAGGAAAGTCTTCGTGGTCCTTCTGGCTGAGGGTACTAGTTGTGCGGATGCCACGCCACGGGGAGAGCGTCGGTTGGGGAGGTCGCGAGGCCTGCAGGTCCACAGGTGCCGGCTGTGCGGCGAGGCAGGTCTGTTGCAGGCGTCCGACCAAGAATCCCAGCTAGAAGTATGAGCCTGTAAATCGTGCAGACTGCCCACCAAGAATCAAAATGAAGGAGGACCTGCAAATTATGTTGCAGACTGCCAAACAAAAATTACAAACAGAGCCTGTACCCTCCCTGGACATATGAAATCAGAACTCCTCACAATATTGGACTAATGGGGCATGCCGTGGAGGAATGACAACGCTCAACAGAATGCGGCACCGGATAGCCTGCTTCAACAAAAACAACCGCAGACATCTCAAAAAGGAGCACGAGCGCACTATAAAACGCAAGATAGACCTGAACGCAAAATAAAGAGCGGGCCTACGCCCAAAATGCCACCACTATCCAGAAATCGCACAATGCGCGCGAAGTCATGGTGCTGGTGGTGGTGCTGGTGCTGGTGGGGGTGGGGGTAATAGCAAGACTTAAAGTACAAGTACCTGAGCTGGTGGTAGTACCAAACCTGGACTACTTGTTGGCATTGCAGTGCTGCTTGTGGGTTCATTGTCATCATCATTGTTGTTGTCGTCGTCGCCGCCGACGTCGTCGTCGTTGTTGTTGTTGTGATTGGGGGGGGGGCCGGGGGTGGGGGCGGCGATGCATGTCGCGATCGATGTTGTTGTCGAGTACTGAGTAGTAGATTTTGAAGTATCAGTAGTGATGGTGGCAGCACGTTCCTGAATTCCTTTGCTTTCACAAATTAGTTTGGAGTTGTTGTCGGGGTCTTGTTGTGAAGCGCTCATAACAATAGCCAGGGACGTCTGTGTGTGTAGAGGCCTGCATTCCAAACCTGCTCGGTATTATCACCTGCCGTTGAGGGCAGAGTCTTGTACGCTTCTCGAGGGCCGAGCCTAAAGAAAGCCGTTATACCTTTTTCCGTTGCTCCTACTTCTTATGATCGCTGCTTTTATCTATTGCTTGTGCTTTTGAGGATTGCATCTTGGGCATCCTGGCAGTCCGCAACGTGTACCTCCTGACCATGAACAGAACTTACCGAGCGGCCCATAGGGGGAAGGGAGCAGGTCTTGTCATGAAGAAAGTCTGGCGCTGACGCTTCTTGAGGGATACTGCTCAGGCAGGCAGATGATCATGGACTCAGACTACCTGATGAGCGAGCGGCCCTCAATTAGCTCCTGCTTGCATGCAGTGCATCTGGACCAGTAGCTCGACCGACTCCAAATCAGGACCAGAAGAAGTAATCCTGAAGCCATGTTTCCAGTAAATCCAGCAGTGCCTCGAGTGCTCAGGACTGGTACTACCTGACGTATCGATTCCCGTACTCTCTGCTCGCCAGAGCCCAAAGCCGGAATCATCATACTTGGCTGGGACACAGCTTGGAGCATCAACGCCACTTTGCGAGCTTCGTGAGCATGATCATGCAGCCAGCACTGTGCCGCAGCAAGGGGTTCAGGGGACAAGTGCTCGGCCCATCTGTCAGCCATTGCTTGCAGAACTCTGGCCATGTCGCGCAAGACGAGCACCGATAGCTCCAGCGTGAGCACGTGCAGCTCAGAAGAGATGCGAGGCAGGATTTTGCATCATGTTCGGGCTGCATCAGGACACCCATTCATGAATTGCTCACGCAATGTCCCGCAGGTCCACCAGGCTTGCACGACAGCACTGCGGATAGCATCCGAGAGTTACTGGAGCGAGCTATCAGCTCGATCAGGGCTGCGACGAATCAGGCTGCCAGGGCCGGCAGTGACAGAATCAAACAACATATACCGTACAGCAGTGGTGATGGCCGCCTATCACCATTATGTCCGCAATCGCAGCTGTAGGAGAAATTGCAGCAGGCGGATAGCAGCAACCGGTGAAAGTATTGCCGGCAGCACTCGTCGTGTTGGTGGTGGTTCCAGCAAGGGCCACAAGCGAGGGGGCGATGAGGGTGGATCAAGAACTGACAAACGACTGCGCAATTAGTGCCGATGCAGATTGCTTGGAAGAGATGTTGATATAAGTCATGGCAGAAGCTCAAGCAGTCTAGATTGTCAATGGTCGTGGTTGGTGCCAGCAAAGACGGAGCTGTTTTCATCAGGCATTTCTGTAAGCGAGCACGACATAAAGAATTACAGTGGCAGTGGAAACGTCGATCAGTGTAGTTTAGATGCCGCTGCAGTCATGATAATGCACTGTCTTGTCTTAGAACAGTCCTTTGTTCTTGCTACTGTTGTTCTTCACGCCTCAAACAACTGTGGCAGCGATGATGATTATGCTGATGATGCTAGCGGTGATCATGATGGTGATGATGATGCTTGCTTGCCTGCCTGCCTGCCTGCCTGCCTGCCTGCCTGCTTGCTGTTATGCCGTAGCCGAATGACAGCATGTTATCAGGCTGCTCGGCGACGCGTCCGCCAGCGTTTGCAGAGGAGCGCTCTACTTCCAGGGAATTCCGGCTCCAGCGGTTCATGAAGCCTGTGAAACATTCCTGCACGTGTCGAAAACGTTGGGACATGCTGTTGTACTACGACCAGTTGTACCAGTAGTTCGTCGTCGTGGTTGTCGTTGTCATCGTAGTAGTAGTCGACTTATAGAAGTAGTAGTGGTGGTGGTAGTAGGAGCAGCAGTAGCAGCAGCAGTATCAGCAGACAGCGCGGCGGTGGTGAGGTTAGTGGTTGTTGAGTGAGAGCCTGGTGCAGGCGGCTCAGCGACTTCCTGACCAAGGAGCAGTATGAGAATGCAATGCAGCAGTTCAAGTTCTTGTGCGAGACCCGGCTCGGCTATGTGTGGCGGGTCGCCCAGCCTTGCGATCACAACTGCGAGAAGTTGTCGACGGGACCTCCAGGGGTATGCTACCTGCATTTCAACGATCTGACCGGGCAATGGGAGCACAGCTTTGTTTGATTCGCTTTGGGCACAGCCTTCTGAGCGTCAGAGGTGCTTGTGGATTTCCAGAGTCTTGAGGAGGTGCTCTAGTGTTGTTTTGTGTTGTGTGGCCTTGGCACCATGGCCACCATCACAGTTTTGTTTCCAAGAGAAGTCTCCATGAAGCTTCCATTCTTGCTCGTGAATATGTGCACGCTGGCCGCACCATGCGGTGACAAACCTGCTACAGCGCAGGTCACGGTACCCAGACCATTTGTGGTGCCATTCTGTACAGAATGAATTGAGGGGTGGAGTTGTGCTCACTGATTGGGCCAGCTGCGTCGTGATTTCCAGTAGGGGTCGGCCCAGTTACGGCTGGGACTCAGTCCTTGCACCGTTTCGTCCTCACTATGGGACAGGGTGCTGAATTCAGACACCCAGCCAATTCTGACTGCTGACGGTGTGGACATGCGATCTTTCGCATGGGCGCGGGCAGAAACACCTCCATGATTCAAGCCCATGTATGCTCTTCATTGTCCTCCCGTTGTGTAACAACCAGGTCGAAACTGGCTGGGCACCTATCATCTTTTCGCCTAGTCCTCGGTGGAATCAAAAGTGGCCAGGCTGGACTGGACCACTGGATGATCTCTGAGCAGCTGAGGACTTGGGCGCTGTTAGCAGAATCATTCAAGTCGCCGCTGTCTCAGCTCTCGGGGGTCTTTGAAGTTCATCCCTTTTTGCTTGAAATTGGAAGCTGGCCATGCAGGTCTTTCCCTGACTTGGCCAGGAGCCCGGTTCAGCTAAAGTTATGGGGATTTTAATGGGGTTAGATAGGGATAATGGAAAAGAACATGGAAACTGTCATAGTATTCGTATAGCCGTCCAAAAGATTCTCTTCCCACCGCAGTCCTTGCTGGTCACCCTGTTGTCGCAGCATGGCCAGCCTCAGCACCCTGGCGGCCCCTGACCGCTGCAATGCCAACTATGACCCCAACGGACTCAGAGAGAAGAATTTAGAACAATTGTTGGTGGCCCGGAGTTTGGCCACACATGACAGAGCCATGATACTTTGCATGCCTTTCCTAAATTCCTAGATGTGAAGCAGCAAGTGTATTTAGACTGCGGCTAGACCATGAGGCTGGCTTAGCGCGGGGTAGCGGCGAGTAGCGCCCAGGTGTGGAAGGACTGCGAAGATGTTCCTGGCGTTGGGAAGCTGATGCCGGACATGCAGGCCATTCGCAAGACCGCACTTCAAGCACAAACATGCAGTATGCCCCTTTGGACTTGCAGGCCTACGTCACTGCCCCGACGCAGATGTGGTGCACAGCTCAGATTTGTCCAGCGCTCCACACCCCACCGTCGCGGACGTCGACGAAGGCAGAAGATGATGTCGTCCATGATGGGTGCAGATGAGGCCTGTACAGCAACTAGCCAACTTCACAGTGTTCAGAATCAGGGCAAACATGCTTCAAAGCAAAAGTTCCCTGTGCAGGACGCTTTGAAGAGATGTCCCTTGGCTTCTGCCTTCATGGCCGGCCTTCTGTCAGCTGTTGAGGACCAACGAGTCCATGCCAGTCCCAGCACTTCCAGGCACGCGCTTGCTGCTTGCTCCTGCCAGGACCATGACAAGCCTGATCCCAAGCTGATCCAGCCAGCCACCAGATTCAGCATAGGTGGAAAGCATCGCTTGGCTAAGGGTTCGTAAATCACTGCTGGACTTGGCGCAGTTCGCCCTGAGGTTCGCAATTTCGGATGGTGCAATCTGCAGTACCAAATCTACAGCGGAGTTTGTGCAGAAGCTCGCTGTCAGTCCTGGGTGTTGACAGGCACTACAGGGAGAAGAACAACTTCACCTTTGCAAATGTGCTTCTGTCATCTTGGCCGTGCGCTTGGTGGCAAGACCCATGTGCTGCAGAATGTTTTTGCAGAGGATGTGCACCAACATGCGTGTTTGTTGCAAAGGAACATTTTCTCACCGATCGCCCACACTGCACTCTTGCTGGCCTGAGCCCCTGCAGGGACAAGGCGCACTCAGAAATATAGTAGTTTCCATTTTATTTTCCATCATCCTAATCTAACCCCCAGATATCCCTTCAATACTATATTAGTTTCCATTTTCTTTTCCATTTTCCCAGTATATCCCCAAAATTATATATGAAAGTTTGAGCTGCCATGAGTCCGAGGATGAGAAGACAGGCCTCTCAAAGAAGAAGCCCTGCGGTTTGCTTTGGTGTCCTCAGGGGGGCACGTCCCGCCCCGAGGTCTCCCTTTTTGCGGGGCTGCACTTTTCATGTGAGCAGCTGAGGCCCAACGACTTGCTTTGCCGATGCGAGTTTGCTTTCACCAAGGGTTACAGGACAACTTCTTGCACTCCAAAAGGTGAAGTTGGGTTGTCAGCGGGTCAGCTGCAGGAACACGACGGTGTGCATCTTCATGGTGGACACACGTCGCAGGCCGGCAGGCCATCGCCTGAAGCTCGCAGGACGTGCTAGTGCGCTGTTCAGGTCCTCTCTGCGAAACATTACGTCCGTGCTGAACGCCAGGCAAGAGCAGTAGCTGCACCCAACAACAGGTCCTGGCAAGGGTCCCTTGGCAGTGAGGTACTGGACGTTGTCATTTGGGGTCAACCGGGCTTATGCAGCTTCCTCAGCATAGGGATCCCGACTAGCCAACAGAGGCCTATGTTGATTATGTGCAGAGGCACACGATTTCGGTTATGAAATCGATTATGCCAGTTTCTCAGGATTGGAGGCATGTGCCTCGGGGTGCGGCCACAACTGGGTGCATCATTCTTGATTTCAGAGGTCAACCCGGACGAAGCCACCCACTATCCAGGGAGGAAAGTGGGCAGCTTCCTCAGCTGCTAGGAAATTTGTTCTATGCACGAAAGACGAAAACTCCACGTGTAAGCTCGACAAGGAGCTGTGTGAATGCTCAGGCTGGGCCAAGGTCAAGGTCATCGTTGACGCTCTGCGCGAGCGTGGCCCAGAACGTTGTGCCTACGGCGTCTCTCTTGACACGGACGGGGTACCCAGTGCGAAGATGGAGGGCTTGTTTGGGAATACGCTTCGCGTTGGGCGGCCTGACAATGCTAGGATGGTCAGGTGAACGCCGTAGAAGCAGACCTGCGCTGATAGGGCCATTGTGCTGGAGACAGGCGAGCCACGAACACATCAGATTCACTTTCCGCAGAAGTTACGTAGAGGGTTTGTAGCCAGAATGAGCAAGACTTCGATTCCAGAACGAGCAGCCCGGATTCGAGCACCCCGCGACCGATTGAAGAAGTGCGGTCGCATCAAGCAGCATCAAACACAACAATCTGATTGAACTGCCAATCTGAGCACCACTATTCCACGAACCCGCGCAGATTGCATGACGTCCTTGGTCTAGAATCTAGGTTTGGGATGTAAGGTTTATGAATTGAATGCTCACGATTCGAGCGCATCGAGTTCAAGCCTGTTGCGTAATGGGTTTGTGCGGACAAAGTCAAGGGGGGGTGGAAAACTCTAAGGAGGGTTAGTGGTGCGCGACTCCATCACGTCGATGCTCATCGGAGGGGTTTCATTCATCAAGGGTCGACTCGTCCAGCACACGAACGGTCTTGTCTGGTCCGCAACCTGGGCCCAACTGGCCCCAACGCCAGGATGCATTCATTCGCACTTCCGAGCCCCTAGCTGCCATTATCGCAGACTACGGCCTTGCGGACAACAAGTGCCCTGCCTTGATGAGGATTTCTTCTACTGCCATGTATGAAAGGTTCTCCGGTTCGATTGGAATATCCTTCTTTTGATTAATGTACAGCACCAAGCCAAAGACGAAACAGTTACGTCCACCTTGTAGATCAGAATCAAATGCTTGCTGACCTCATAGACTTGCTGGTGGTTAGTAGGGAACATCACGAGCTGAGGCTGATAATGTTTTCGCAGGCTGCGGGCTGAGTATCCCCACAAACGCATACCAGCATGCAGCTCCCGAGTGCTTCAGACATGCATGATTACATGCAAGTGTGGCCTGAGTTGTTATTGCAATGTGCCCCGTGCCAACCAGCTCCAGAATTCCAGATACACCCTCCAAACATGGCCGAAGCCAATAACTGTGAACACGATGCAGAAAAGCTGCTTAATGCCGCCACTCAGGAGTACCATATGGAAAATGACCACGAGGGTGGAAAAGCCTTAATCAATGGTGGCTTCTTCATTGTGGGAGCCTTGGCATAGGCACCAGCAAAGCCTGTCCTACAACTCCAACAGTTTTACTTGTAACTGCAACCTGGCCCGGAAAGCTCCAGGTGCGGAACACGCCAGAAGGAGTGGGATTGCTGCAGGAGTGGCAAGGTGCCTAAGTTTCCAAGCTGTGATGCCGTTTTGTACTGATACGTGCTTGTCACATAGATTTCTACCAGCTGGGAGGCCTTGGCAAATTGCATGCAAATTGAGGTATGATGTCCCAGAGATGTACGAGGAGATGTCGAATACGCCTTGCATAGCATGCCACCGAACCGTTGCCGTGCTGCACTTTGGAAAGGACATGGCTCACCTGAAGAAGGAGAATCCTCAAGGCACTGCAGATGCGAATTGTGGATTGACAGCCGATGCAGAAACTATCGGTGATTCAGAAACCACAATTCCGAAATTATTGGGCCGCCTCAGGAAATTATTTGCACCGATTCAGAAACTAAGTGTGTACCGGTTCAAGAAACTATGCAGATTCACGCGCTACGATTCAGAAACTGTTTCGCACCCCACCCACCTTGCGACATAAGAGGAATTGAGTGACAGAAGGAAAGCCATGTAGAGACATATGTTTTTACCATCCCCCTTTTTCACCTTGCAACAAGATGAATGGAGTCACAGAGGGAAAGCCATGTAAAGACATGTGNNCCTGCCCCCCCCCCCCTCCCCACCTTGCGATATAAGCGGAATTGACTGACACAGGAGATGCCATGTAGAGACATGTCTTAGAACCAACCCCACTTCACGCTGCAACGAGACACTGTGGACATATGTTAAAGCCACCACCCTTCTCACTTAGGCATGAAGTGGCAGAGGGAAAACNNACATATGTTAAAACCACCCCTTTTCTTCTCTTCGCGATAAGATGAGCGGAGTCACAGAGGGAAAGCCATGTAAAGACATGTGTTAAAATCATCCGCTCTCCACTTTCCACATCCCTGTCCCAGTTTGCAACTCCGAGCGCATAGTAGTTTCCGAATCCGCTCGCAGAGTAGCTTCCGAATCCGCGTGTTTTAGTTTTCGAATCTGCGTGTTTAGTTTCCGAATCCACGTTTTTCGTTTCCGAATCTGCGCGCGACCCGGAATATGCAATAAATAACTGACTGACCGTATGCAGCCGCGCACCATCATGCAGATGCGACTGCGCTATCTCACAGAACACAGGTTGCCTATGCGTACCCAGAGGCGCCTCAGCGGTCCAGCCATGTCCTGCCTAAGGTTTGAACCAATGCTGGGACCGGAAGATGCAGCCAAAGTACGCTGCAGCAAGAAGCTGAGCCTGCTCGCTGCATGAGCATTCTTGGCCTATGTACGCCTGCATGCGAGAAGAAAACACAATCTAGCTCGATAGGATCTACACGCGTCAAAAATATAATGGGTGCAGGTAGACTAGGTGCTAGCGGGCGCGCTCCTTCGAAGCTGCAGTGCCTCAAGTCATGCTCAGCGTAGCAAGTGCTCTGCGCTTGAGCCTTTTCTTCGATGTCCTGAGATCATCGGCGGGCTGCCCTTACAATGAGGTCATACCAGTTTGCAGGCTGCAGACAGGCGCTTTGGTGGACATCGTGGTCTCTGAGGACTGATCCTTGGCGGAGACCAGCCCTTTTTTGGGAAAGTACTTTCCTGTAGTACGCAGTAAACATGCCATGTAGCTCCTGGGCTCAAAGATGTACCGTACCCTGCGAATCTGGATCTGGTGGGCGGTAATTCTTCCGATCGGTGTCGTGGCTTTTCAACTTTCAATTTCTTTCCGCAGCTTTGGCGAAACAAAGGGCCCAAGACCTGTTCTTCAGGTCGCAGCCTTCCCGTGAGCTACAGTCAATACTAGGCTTATTAAGGGACCTGTATAACCGTAGTTCAATATAGTCCCTAATAAGAGACCCATGTCCTTTGAATTGCATAGGACGTATTGACTGTAGCTCCTGTGCAGAAAGGCCTTTTGGGCAGCGAGGGCGCGCTGAGTCTTCGCAGCCGAACATTGGTTATTGAAGCGGGTGCCAGGCTCCTGCTGCATCCTGCGGCAGACGTCGAGGCTGAGCTTCAGTAAAAAGCATTTTAAAAAGATGACATGGCAGTTTCCCAAAATCAGGTGGCCCCAATATAGACCCCAATATACTATAGTCATTATTAATTATGGGGCCCCCAAAAAAAGGTACCCTAGGAAATCCCCACATGCAGAAACAATTGGGAGGTCGAGACAGGCGCGCTCCGCTTGGACGGTGAGCTTTGGGTCGGCTGCGGCGCAGTTCCCTTCCAGGGCATTTTCCAGCTGCGCCTGACAGGGTCCTGGGAGGAGCCATGGGCCGCACAGGTTTTTGTTTAGTGGACTCCCTTAAGCTCCCAAGTCGGGAACATGATCGGTTCGATAAATGATGGCGGTAAGATAGGGCCTCAAGAATTCCAATGCCTATTCATGACAGTTAGGAGAGGGATGCTGCTGTCGACTTCAGCTGGCGTGCAGCGGGTCTGCCAGACTTGTGGGATGGCGCCCCCATTGCTTTTCCAAAGGCTTTGTTGGTGACAAACACTGGGCGCCTGGAACTGCATGGTGCCCCTCGTGTGAGCTGGGACTACCTCTCTGCTACAGCCTCCCGCGGCGATGCCCAGCTAACCATGTCCAAAGCTGTGAGCCTTGGACTGTTTGTTATGATGTTTCAGGTTTCTTCCCTACGATGTTTGCGCTTGTGTTTGGGAGAGCTTCTGCAAGGGACCTCTTGGATCTGGCATCCTAGGAACTGGAGACCTGGTGACCGCATTGTGGTCGGTTCCACATCTCCGGACCCACGGCATTCAGAAATGGCCACCGTGCGCAGGGTAGAGGCTGGCGGCCGAGCTGTGCTGCTACAGTCCAAGCTCCGAGCAGAGCACGAAGGCAGATTTTTGGGGAGGGGCACCCGCCTCAATGCTCCAGTAGGGTTGCTGACGCGGAACATTCGAGTCTTGGGCGCCCAGTCACCTGAGACACCTGAAGCTGCCTGGGAGGCTTGCAGGGAAAGCTTTTCCCAGGTTGCCACTGATGCTTCCGCCGTTCGCAGTGCTTGCTTTGGGGGTCACCTTCTGTTTATCCAGAACTCCACAATCCACATCGAGCATGTGGAGTTTGCTCTGCTTGGACAAGCGCTGCAGATGGCAAGGTATCCAGTCCACTGGCATCTGGCTGGAATGTCGTATGACGACTTCATTCGAAACAGCTCCATTCATCACAGCTTCCAGCGCTGCGTCACGATACATGGAAGCGAAGGTGTCCACGTTCAGAGCAACGTTTGCTTTAGGACCTTCGGGCATGCCTTTTACCTCGAAGATGGCATCGAGACTAGCAATGTTTTTGAGAGAAACTTGATCATGTCTGTCCATCAAGGTGGTCCGGGCTGAAAGAGAAAGGGTGGGTGACCAACACAGCAAGCTGTACATTCGGTGCAAGTAGTCTGCCTGCGCAACTGAGGTGGCTCGGTGTGTACAGACTGGATGTTTGGAGATGGCCCTCGCACAAACTTGCAGCTGGGCCCTTCTGGCTTCTGGATTACAAATCCCAACAACAGTTTCTCCAACAACCATGTGATTGGAGTAGGCACGGGGTATTGGTTCACCTTTCCGACAGATGGGACCTGCGGCCTTGCTGCGCTGCCTTCGGCCGACGTGTGCCGTTCTTCGAAGCACGCCAGGGCCATGGCCACCATGGCCATGGGCTTGAGCCTCCAGTATTTCAACGACAGCAGAAGTGGTTACGGTCCGGATAGTTGGTGGCTGCGCCAGGAGCAGTCGCGTACCCCCGTGCAAGCGTTCCGGCGAAATGCGGTTGGCACAGCGCAGCGGGGAATCCATGTGGACGGCCGCGTGCTGAGCTCAGCGGATGAGCACATACCCTGTTGGGGTGATGACTGCTCCACATGCTCAGGCAAGGACAAAAGTAGGCGTAGAAATCTTTCTCCTTCGAGTTGTCTAGACACGTGAAATTGCATGCGGCAGGTCCTTTAGAAGGCTCCAGCTCCTGGGTGCCCATGCAATTTGACGTTAGCTTGCCCAAAGCGCAGCGAAGCTACGCCTTCCAGGCAAATGTCTTCGAAGATTTTCTGGCAGTGCACATCCACGGTCCAGTGGAGTCTGAAGCACGAGCCGTGTGGGCTTCAGGTGGCTACATCCTCTTCAAGCGTGCTGTGTTTTTCAACTGTCATATTGTAGCCACTGGCATGCCGGAGTTGACCACAGCATGTTTCAAGGTTACTGAATCTTCGCCTCCGGGCTTCCCACTCGTTTTCGATGGGTCCCTCTTCATCAGCGGCGACCTTTCGAATTCTTTCTTCCAACTCTATGATGCTGGGATCCATGTCAAGAACAGCCGCTGGCTTATGACCCCTGACACCCACAAGGACTTCTTTGTGGCCAAGCCCAAGTGCGCTTTCGGCGGAAATGGGAACCCGCTCTATATTGAAGGGAGCCGACAACTGCAGAATCTAACCCAAAACACGGGGAAGTTTGCATGGGCCGCAAGAGCACTGGGCAGTGATCCTTCGGACTCGGGCTCTTCGCGGCTTGCAAGCTTCCAGTGTATTGCTTGGGACTCACCCTACATCAAGGGGTCTTATGTCTACTCACCCGATTCCTTTGGCTTGGTGACAGTGCCAACCATTTTAGCCCCTGGCAGATGGCAGGGGTCTCAGCAGGTTCATCAGCTCGTGGGAGTTGCTGCGTGCGAGTCATACCTTCAAGAGACCAGGCCGAGGTTCTTCTGTGGTCAAGCTTTTGGAACCTACGGTAGATGGTGTGGCTCGCACCAACCCCTCGAAGATTGCCCAGGTGTGGTTGCAGATCCGGCATATTGGTATCATTCGCTGCTTCCATGGTCTAATGGTGATCCCAGTCCAGAGCAAGCACCTGTGGCTTTGCCGGGAGCTGCGTCCCCACAGTCATGGCCTCACGATCTGCCAGCTGGTGCATGTGCATTTCCTAGCCAACCTCCAGCATCAACACCGTTTTTGTGGGATCCCTCTTGTACTTCTGGTGGGGTTGGATGCAATGCAGATGGAAGCCACATGGAGTGCCGCTGGTGTGGATTTGAGCCTTACCTGCCCTGCCCTGAGATTAAAGCGAATGCCAAGAGTCCAGAAGGCGCCGACGTTATCGCTGCAGTGGTTGCGTTGCTGGTAAGTGCCTCTTTGCTCAGCCTGATCATGGCCCTGTGCTGGTACTGCGCCTCTCGGCGCAGGCCCCGATCCTCCCGTGTTTCCCAGCTGCCTCGCTCGGAAGTACCAAGCTTGCTGGGGCACACAGCTTTGCCTGCAGACAAACCTCGAACTACTGCAGATCAGGAGCTCCCAGCGCTTCTTCGCTAATGCATTTCAATGCCTCTCTTTCGACTGCTTTCCCTGAGGAGCGAGCAGCATGTACAGACTCACCACAAGTGTGTATGCGACCGAATTGGTTCTGCCTGAAATTCTCTTTGGATGGATTTGCCCCGCCATGAGGCGGGAGCGAGCTCTCCGCGGCAGAGTCCGCACAGAATGCAGGACTGATACAGTATGCGTGTTGGAGCCATTACAAAGATCCTGCCCAAATTCCAGCGAAATACCTTGCGAACTGCACTTAGTGCCGATTTCAGGACGGGGGTTCTTGGAAGGTTGGGCATTGATGGGAGTTGCAAATGAGCAACAAAGTATGAGCCGCGACTGTTCATATCCTCATCAGTATTTTTGGGATACCCCTACAAAGCCGGCCACAAGCACGTGTTTTCACGCAGCTCAGTGGGTATCCTTGCACTTGGTGGTGGGATGCGCCTTTAAGCCACGGGCTTTCAAACCCTTCCGCTAAGGTGGTATGTAGTATGCAGCTATCAGAGGCCACGAGTCTCAGCTAGAGCCCAGGTGACAGCACTGGCCGAGTCCTCAGAAGATTTAGTTCGAGTTATCCCTGAGTTGTGTCAATCTGTCAAGCCTGTCTCATCGCGCTAGGGCGAACCTCACTTGTTCACCGCACCACTTGGCCTAGCAGTCCGGCACAACTGGTTCAAGGAGAAGTCCATCAGCGTTCGGTGCCTGCATCAGTGGAGGAGAGGAGAAGTTTGACATGTTTCCCAGGATCTGCGCTTTGAGCAGGAGATGCAGGCATGTGGGTTTGCAGAAAGATGCCGTAATATTTCACCCCCGCCCTTCTTCAGGACATTCTGCTGCACCGACTTCAGCGCAGCAACTCTGTCGCACGATGCTTCAATGCAGCAGAAGAAATATGAATTTGCAGAGCGCTGCTGAGGATACAATTGCATCGTCTGCCAAAACGTGTATGACTGGGCACAGGGCTCAGGGTTCGCCTTGGTCCTTTTGCAGGCCAAGTTGGCACGGAGCAAAGGCATGTAGCTTCCGCATTCAGCTTCCTGAGGATGACTCAAACAACACGGACCCTGGATGGCGCTGAGGGGTGTGGCGCCATGTGGATCAGGCTTGCCTACTTTGTCTCTTCCCCAAACATGGGCAACATTGCTCATGTGCTGCAAGTATGGACAAGTTGCGAGAGTGGGAAGAGATTTGGACCGCAGGTGCGACTTCAAGTGGATGGAGCGAGCCGACCAGTCGGGCTGCAAAAAGCTGAAAGGACAGCATTTGTTGTGCTCACCCTTGCATCCCCCGCTTCAGAACCGCTTGTGTTGGGCCATGCCGCATGACTGTCAGCAGCGGCGGTAGCGACAGCAGCCACAGCAGAGCAGCAACGAGGACTGTGCTCAACAGAAGAAAGTATTGAAACGTGGCAAGAGCAACTTGCCAACCATTGAGGCCTAGAGCCAAACACAAACAAAGTGACATGAAGTGACCATAGGCCTTCATAAGCTCAGTGGCATAGTGCAGCCGTGCCATGGCAAGGGTCTTCGGTGACGAGGTCTCCCTCATTATTCGACTCCTGGCTTTGGCTTCATGCGGCAACCTCAATCTGCATAGAGCAACTCCTTGCTCCTGAGGAGATGGGGTGGCTGTTATGACCCTGTTAGCTCAGCCTGGCACCTGGTCCTGGGGCACCGCGCGGGAAGAACACCGCTTCAACCCAGTCACTGGGCACTTTGCTCATAAATATACTATAGTAGTTTCCATTTTCTTTTCCATTATCCCTATATAACCCCAATATATACCCCAATACTACCCCAATATGACCCCAATATTATCTTGTGCTTTGCGCTTTGCCTTGCTTTGCACCGGAGAAACATGGTAGTTTCCATAAATATGGAAACCCCAATATAGACCCCAAAATACTATAATCCATATTATAGGGACCCCCAAAAGGGTACCTCTAATTCTGGGAAACCCCACATGTTCGAGGTTACAGTGCGGGCATGGGCTGATGCTCTCGACGTCGTAGAGGCAGATGAGGCTGTCAATGTGCTTTGGCCTGCACCAGTGGGGGTTTCCCTATATTAGGGGTGCCTTTTTGGGGGTCCCTGTAATAAGGATTATAATATATTGGGGTCTATATTGGGGTACCCTAATTTTGGGAAACAGCCAGTACGCCAAATTCCGGCCTTTCATTGAACCTGCTTGCAAGTACCTGTCAGGTGTTGATTGTTACGAACGATGGCAGCTTGGCTAGCTTGGCGAGCGGCTAGCCGGGAAATTGATCCAGGCAACGAGCCTATGGAACTCATACCGAGGTAAGTACTGGTCGAACGGCATGGATTTGCGATACTTGGACAAGCATGCAGATGGGGCAGCGAGCCTCCAGCAAGAGACCAACAAGCTGATGGCCAGGACAGATCCTTCAGGGATATGAGGGCTCAAGAGTCCTCGTGCATGTAAAAAAAGGAGGGCGTGCTAGCAAGTATTTAAACCTTTTGACTACTTGTTTGGGTTCCTCGAGTTGCTAGTGGCTCGGCCTCTTCCAATCAAGTCTTCGCCTTGTAAGACGTGATTTCAAGACCAGTTTACATTGCATATTCCGCTTGCTTTTCCAATTCTCCATTGTGAGGCTCTAATAAATCCCTGGAATATACATGTAAAACCCTAAAAAGCCCTATCGACTCTGCAGCTTTCCGATACACTGCAGAGACGGTGATGTCTAGAGCAAACCAGTGCTTGCACCCCACAGTAGTGCCCTTTCAGGGTCTGCTGCTTCCCGCGGCCAACAGTGGCCGCCTTCCGCGGCCACTGGTGTGCGGCTGGTGGGATGATGGGTCTCTTCAGCTGCACTTGGATACGCAGCAGAGCCTTTGCCTGTCTCTCGTGGTGCATGACCTACAGTTATGCCAGACTTCCACTAGCAATCCCCTCCTCTGACCCGCATAAACTGCATAACAGTTGTCTGTGATGCTTCCCTGCACAGTCCAATGGGTTTGCTGGGAATTCTGATTAGAGGGCCCTGTGGGCAAGGGTTTTCCAGCGGAGCGACCGTCTCTGTAGACATTTCTTGACCCTGGAAGCCCCCCAAAGGACACTTTCCTTCTGGGAGGCTTGGCCTTCGACTTTCGCCTCATGTCTCGAGACGCAGGAGACGGGGGGGCCTTGGCAGGTCAAAGGTAAGGGCGTCTCGTTTTGAAGCTCCTTACTGTATGCAATTGGCTGAATTAGCTGCACTTTCTTTTCAGGGCACTCATTTCTTGGAAGGTGGGTTGGTGGTGCGGGACGCGAGGCTGTTTGGTTCAAATCTTCCATGAGGCTGATTTTCGGCACTTGATTGATGCACTACCCGCGGCATATTGCTTCGATGCGCTTGTTTGACAGCGCATGCAATGACGTGCATGTCACAGGTCCTCTGTTACAGTCGAGGCTCATTCAATAGCACTGGCAACAGTAGCAAACTCAGGCCACATAGGATAGACAGAGTAGTTGAGTGTAGCTCAACAGCAAGGCTGGGAAGAACAGAAAAAGCCGACCGAAGCAATACTACACTGACAACACTTGGATACATTTGGCAGCATTCGTAGTTGTAATCATAACGGCCTGACAGCAAGGATTTTTCTTCATCCCAGGGGTGGACCTGGGCCTCGTGTACGCACCCCTGCAGGCCGAACTCATGAAGGCTCATTGCTGCAAGTTTGTGTGCGTTTGAGTTATTATCCCGATGGTGCTATCTGTTGTGGCAGAATCATTGCTGCGTTGTTGAAAGAAACTTGTAAAGAGATACTGTAGCAGTACTGACAGTTTTCACGCAGGCCTGTAGTGCTCATAAAGCTTTATTAATGATGCTCTTTGTTTGAGGAGCGGTGAGTATAACGGGTGGAATGACGCTAGTCAGAAAGCCACTGTGACATGAACGTCTAGTGGTGACCATGACCATGCTTGGCCAAATTTTGACTCGTGGCTCAACATGTTGGCCTGTCTTGCTTCGTGCGTACGCAAAGGGAGGTGCCTCGACGAGAGCGTGCACATGCACAAGAGCCTTTTGCACATGCTGGATTCCTGCAGAACCGGCCGCCTTTTGGTTCAGAGCCAGGACAGAAGGGGCCTGGCTCGCCAGTTTTGTGCAGAGGGGGGAGGCCTCAGGTCTAGCTACCTCAGGTATTCCAGGGAAAGCTTCAAGGAATTTCAGGCTTGGTGCGTTACCCTGGGGCCTCCCCCGCTTTGTTCCGTCCATGATCTTCTCTTGGACGCGAGTTATTTACGAACTACGCTTCGCATGTTTGGTCGGCTTGGCAACCGCGAATGCCTGGGTTCTGCTAAATCCCAGTGGCTCCCCTCCGGCTCGAAGCAACTGGAAGCACATTATATTGGGGCTATATAGGGATAATGGAAAAGGAAATGGAAACTACTACAATAGGTTATGTAGGGGTATATGTTTGGGTTATATTCGGATAATGTAAAATAACATAGAAACTACCATAATCGGTTATATAAGCACTTGCTTTTTGGGGCAGTTGAATCATCTTGCATTCAGAGGGATCCCAGTTGACGTGTGCCGTTTCCGTATGGAAAGTTGGCATCCCATCCACCATGGGCTATTAGACCCTAAAATTCCCTATTGGGACCCTATTAAGGGTGGATTAAGGTACCCTGAAGGTCTAATAGCCCATAGTGGATCAGCTCAGGCAAGCATTCGATGGTTTGGGATCCAGATGGTGGGGGTTGCTTGGCAGATCGATGCCTACTTTCTGATGTAGACCATTGATTAATACACCCCCCTCCCCTTAAAAGGTGTTCTAATAGGGATCCTAATATGAAGAAAATAAAGCCCTAAAAAGGAGGGGTTTATTAATCATGGGTCTACATTAGCTTGAAGCAAATGTCGGCATGCATAAAAGTGAAGAACCTTCGCCTTCCATGTCTCTAAAGAAGGCGTTGCCGTAACTTGTCCGCATAATTTTTGAGACTACTACCTGCAGGGTTCACATTGAAACACTTGTGGCCGCGACCCCCTAGTTCTGTAGCAGAAGGGCTGATCTGCGGGTTGGGCCGATTCACGCGATACTGCTGTTGGAACCTGGGAGAAGGTCTGCAGCAGTCTCCTTGCCTTCAGTCTTAGTCTTTGTGGACATACCCCTAGAATAAATAGAATATGGCTTTGGGTATATCATAATACAAGTCCCCATATACCCCATAATTTATCTACTTAAGGAGGACTATACTTGAAGGAGGGCTGGAGGAAGTTTGAAACGGGACGCTGGGCTGACTGCGCCTCTGCCGGATGCCTCAAAGCCCGAGGATTCCCATTTTGGCTCCAAAGCAGTCTCGACCCCCTGTCAAACAATGGAAAAGAAAACGGAAACTACTATAGTATATTGGGGTTATATAGGGATAATGGAAAAGGAAATGGGAACTACTACAATAGGTTATGTAGGGGTATATGTTGGGCATATATTGGGATAATGGAAAAGAAAATGGAAGCTACTATTTAGGGTTTAGGGGTTAGGTTAATTGTTGTCCTCTTCGGCAGGTTTCTTCATGTTTGGTGGAGACCAGTCCGACAATTCTAAATCCGACCGGCTGTACTTCTACAATGCCGCTTCGACTCCTGGCTGATCCCTAAACCCTAAGCCCTAATCCCTAATTAAACCCTAAACCTAAGTCCCAGAAGTCTGAGAGTCTAAGAGCTTAGATACATCCACATGGACGGCTTGATGTAGACCAGGTGAAAGTTTGTGTCCGCCTGCAGTACAACCTTGACAACCCTAAACCACGTTCCCGCCCAGAATTTGCCAAGCGTTCTGCTCAGGAACATTTGGACACAAATGGCCTCAACTGGACTTGAACCCAGATTCGGGCATACAATGGTCCTGGACCCATCGGCGCGGACCTTGCACCTACAAGCCGCATTATAACATTGATTCGTTCTCGAGCTTGAGCCTCTTTTGGCTTGTTCCGAGGTATGTGTATGGAGGAATTAAAAGCCAGGGCAGCTTGAGCGACGTCCTCGATGACCTTAATCGCTTCTCCCCAACAACTTGGAAAGATGGTACCTTCATTGTATGATGAAATGAGCTGTAGCCTAAACAAAGGGCCTGTTGCACCCAGCCAAGGTTACGATGTGGTTACAGATTCCTGGACCGCCTTTGAAGTTTGCCATTTCCGCCACGACCTTGTCTCACCCTTCAGTGCTTTACGATCTAACTTCTGACAAGTGTGCTACTGCATGTTCATTTGATGCAATGGTAATTGGTGCCATCTTGTCACGCCTGCAGGACTGGAGTCGACCAGGGCGATAAGAGATGGCAGCACACGGCAGTGTGGAACAGCAATGCCAAACGTATGATTACGTTTGGTGGTTTTGATGAAGAACAAGACCGGATGGGCCGTCTTCGGCAATACAAAAGGCAGCCGGACAAGTGGACGGAGAGTGGGGCGCCAGGCCCTGCAGCGCGCACTGGGCACGTGGCAGTTTGGGATGATTCTTCAGATTCCATGCTCATGTGCTGTGGAATCTCCGATGTGGCGACCCTGCACGACCTTTGGAGCTTTGATGGAGATTCCTGGACAGAGCTCTTCCCCTCCGGCAGCATCGTAGCCCGTGCGTTTTCTTCCGCGGTTTGGGATCCCACTGCGCAAGTTATGTTGGGCTTCGGCGGGCAGGAGAGCTCCTACCTGAGCAGTCTCTACCAGCAGCAGGGCTGCATGTGAGGGACTTTTTTGCGTCTGTCTCCCAAAGCCAGCCTTTTATTCTTGACGAGAGAGAGAGAGAGAGAGCTTCAGGGTGAGGGTAAGTGAAATGACTGTGCTAATGGATGACAGGAGCCTTAAATAACACCCCATCAAGAGAATGGGAATCAGGGCTCCTTCTTAGTGTCACAACTCGGTCGAGTAGGGAGTATTGTCATTGGGAAAGGAACGTGGGAAACAGGGATAGGCAAGCAAAGGGGAAACCCAGTTCCGTTCGCAATGATCATGGCTCCGGTCCTCCCGGGAGTAGCGGACTTGTGGACGACGCGTGCGGGGCTTGGGGTTCACCCCAGCAGGGCTCTAGGGTCCTGCAAAGCCCGTAGAAGAAGAAGAAGAAGAGAGCTTCAGTTTCCAAGAGTGCAGCAGCATGGGAAAAGCAGGGTGTTCCCGGCAAATGTGAAGGGTAAGCAGGGCTGGCATACTCACCTTGCAATATATGTGATGAAGGTGGTATTGTTCGTAGGCTGAATGCTGCTTAAGGACAAGGTGAATCCAGCTAAAATCATTTCACCACCCAGTTGAGCAGGGAGGTTCGCTACGTGGAAGTGGAAGCTGGGAGAGAACTGATTACATAATGTGATGTAGGGGTAGAACTCCCATTTCCAATTCCAGTGGCCACGCACTCCGGTCCTCCTGGGCACCGACCATTGGAGTGACCGCGGGGCTCGGGGTTCGCCCCAGCAGGGCTCTAGGGTCCTGCAAAGCCCGTAGAAGAAGAAGAAGAACTTCAGTGTCGTAGTCAAGGCCTGAGGGTGCTGTTACAACAAGGGCTTAGGGTCGAGACCTGACGTGATCTTGATTCGAGCAGCGAAGTACATTACCTGTAGAGACAGAGACTGCTGACTCTGACAAGGCTTGGTATTCTAATGAAGGCTGTGTTTTGCATTCAGTTTCGACATAGCGTCGTCCGTCTATGCAGAGATTGGCATTCCTGGCATCTTCCTACGTCTGACCATGGCCTGGAAAGTTAGAGCTTTCAAGACCCGCTGCTGTTGCGGAAGCGATTTTTACGTATCAGTCGGATCGTCATTAGGTTGGGGATGGGGAGAGCTCCTTGGCCCCTGCAGTGTCAGGGGGCAGGCAGATGGCAGTTGCGCTGCCACTTCTAAGTGAGAAACAACCGTGCTTGCAAACACCCTAAAACATCCCACAGCGCACGTGCTTCGCCAGGAAGCAACATGCTGTTAAGTTTGTGTGTTTGGGGTTCTTTTGGGTGTATGGGGCTTGGGGTTGCTTAGAGTTCGGGGTTCTTTAGGGATTGGTGCTTTTATCCTTGAGGTTGTTTAGGGCTGCGGCTAGAGGTCGTTTGGGGTCCTTCAAGGTTCAGGGCTTCGAGTACTTGAGGTTAAGCGTTGTTGAGGGTTCTATGCTTTGGGGGTCTTTAGAGTTTATATTGGGGATTACGTCTTGTGGTTCTTCAGGGTTTTTGGGTTCGGGCTTCTTTGGGTTTAGGGTCCTTTAGCAGCGAAGCCGATCCGATATCAAAACTAGACGACACAACGCTGGGCCGCAGCAAACATCACGGAGGGCCCCTGTCAAACCACACAGAGGGCGCGATCAAAACAAAAAAGGTGCTGAGCAAAAAACGGCAAGACCGGGATCAAAAAATACGTGAGCGAGATCAACTTGAGATCAACTGACTCCATGGTTTGAAGCAACAATCAAAAAAGCGCCTATAGTGTTCAGCATTTCGCATTTCGCACCAACGAGGCTCCAAAAGCGACAACATCTCTTTGTTTCACAAACACGAGACTCCGAGAGCGACAACCACTCTGCTTTTCACGACAATCAGGGAAGTGTACAGCTTAGGGCTTGGGTTGTTGTAGGGTTTAGTTTAGAGTGTGCGTCTCTTGAGGGTTTGGCGATCTTTAGGGATTGGGGCTTGGAGCTCTTTGGGGCGTTGTTTTTGGGATTCTTCAGGGTCTAGTC